TCCCCAGTACCTTTTCTTTACCCTTCCTCCTTCCAGATTTCCTTTCTTTACTCTACGAGTGTTGCTTCTATTTTTCATGAGGTCCCTTTTCCTTTCTTTTTTTTTTTCTTTTTTTACTTTCAATCCTGTAGTACCCCAAAACAAAACAAAGGAATGACTAACTTATTAACTGTGAGTTTATTAAGGACATCTATGATAAGCACTTAATATATATTGTTAGTCTAGTAAATGAATTTAAAAGCAAAAACTTTCACATTTTTTAAAAGTTTTCTACAGGCTTCAGTCACTTCCAAATTTTGAGAGTTTTCCCAACATGTACTGGGCTATCCTTTGATCAGCTGATAAAATACTTTCACAGAYGTGTTTTTCTTCTTGTGATGAATTTAGCTATCAGAAGTAGTCCCTGGCCCTTTCATAGACCTCATTTTGTTTAAGGCAGGTAGGAATCATTGGCATCACTGTCCGTGCGTGGAAGGACACTACACAGCTAACTTAACTACCTAGGGTCACAGGCAGGTGAGTCAGATCTGGATTGAAACTGTGGCCACTGGGTTCTGTGCTGCTTCTGTCACACTGAGTTGCATCCACTTTAAAACTTCTTGACTTTAAGATTGGCCGGACTTAAAAACAGCCATTGGAGAAATGATATTTTTAACAAATATTCCCAAGAAAACTGGATAGCTACACTTAGAAGAATAAAATTAGATCCTTCATCTCTTGCCCTACACAAAAATCAACTTGAAATGGATCAAAGACCTAGGAAAGTAGATGAGAAACACTGCAACTGCTAGAAGAAAACAGAGTTAATGCCCCAGCATAACAGCCCAGGCACTGACTGTCTTAACAACTTCTAAAGCTGAAGAAATAAAACCAGGAATCAACAAATGGGATGCCCTCAAATTAAAAAGCTTCTGTASAGCAAAGGAAACAAGACTGTGAAGAGAGATCCTACTGAATGGGAGAAAATCTTTGCCACCTGCTCTTCATACGGGGATTAATATTCAGAATATATTAAAAAACTTGAAAAATTTAATAAAACAAATAACACAATAACGGGCAGATGAACTAAATATACACTTCTCAAAAAGAGAAATACAATGGCCCACAAATATATAAAAAAATGTTCAACATCCTCAGCAACCAGGGAAATGCAAATCAGAACTACACTGATATCCACCTCACACAGGTTAGGATGGCAGCTTTTGAGAATACAATAAGAGCTGGCAGAGATGCAATGAAAAGGTACWTTGACACCTTATTGGCAGGACTGCAAATTAGGAAAGGACTTTGGAAAACAGTATGGAGAGTCCTCGAAAGACTCCATATGACCACACGACCCAGCTATCCCACTCCTCAAAGAACTAGAATCAGCTTACAATAGTGATAATATGCATACAGATGTTTATAGCAGTGCAATTCACAAGAGCCACATTTGTGGAATCGGCTTTTGCCCATCAACAGACAATGGGTAAAGAAAATGTGGCATATATACATGATAGAGTTCTACTCAGTCATAAAGAAGGGTGAAATGATGTCATTTACTGGTAAAAGGATGAAACTACAGAACAGCATGCTAAGTGAAATAAGTCAGAAAGTCAAGGGTCGAAGAATGTCTTCTCTCATATGTAGAAGCTAGAGAGAAATAAGGAATAAAAATGAGGATCTCAGGAAAATAGAARARCAGTCCTGGAAGGAGATCTAGGTGGAAGGAGGAGGGATGAGAAGGGGAAATTGAAGAATGAGACTGATCAGATTATGTCATGTRCATGTATGAAAATAGCACAAAGTGTTCCACTTTTATGTATAATYATAATGAACCAATAAAAAACTAAACTTAAGACCAACAGARTAGAGGAAGGAGATCAGGGGGAGGGCAGAAAGGGGAAGCACTGGGGATTAAAATTGTATGCATTTGCAATATGTCAAAATGAACACCACTATTATATATAACTATAATGCACTAATAAAAGCATCAAGAAATGACTGGCCTGGTTTTTTAGACACCCCAACTCTCACCAGTCCCTGACCCCAACACACTTCTCAGAAGAAGGTGCTCTGAAGAGGTGTTAATCACAAGGCCAAGAGCACACCACTGGTGACACAGCAGGGGCACCAGAATCCACAACTCAGCACTGCCAACCTGCGGACAATGTTCTTCCCAGCCTCAATCCTTTGAATATGCAAGCCCTCCAAATTTCAAGTTGCAAATTGATCCCCTTTGTAGTAGTAAGAAGAGGTGGGCCTTTGTTGAAGTGATTAGGAGTAATGCCCTTACAAAAGAGGCTTCTGAGAAAGTRCACTCTGTTTTGCCCTTCCATTCCTTCTGCCATGTGATAATAGTGTTCCTCCCCTCTAGAGGATGCAGCAATAAAAGAACATGTTGGAAACAGAGCAGCTCTCAGTAGACACCAGTGCTGGTGCCTTGACCTGGGACTTCCAGCCTCCATAACTGTAAGAAAGAAATTTCTGGTCTTTATAAGCCATCCAGGGCTGGGGGACCTGGCTCAGTGGTAGAGCAGTTGCCTAGCAYGCACAAGGCCCCAGGTTTGACCCCAATACCACAAAAACAAACAAACAAAAAACCTTATAAACTACCTTTATAAATGGTCTGTGGTTTGTTACAGTAGCACACATGGACTAAGACAGCAGGCTGGTACATTTACAATGTTCTTTTCTTCTGTAGCTATTTCTTTTGGGCTTAAACATTTCTTTGGGTTATTTTCTTCAGATCTCTCGATCTCTTTTTTCCCCCCTCCCTTTGGCAAACAGCCTCTTAGTGAGCACCTCCTTATCTGACAGAAATGATAAAATTCAAAGTCCTGATAGTTTGACTCCCATCATCATCTCAGAGCAGCTAAGCCACATTTAAATATTAAGGTTATATGTAAGAAGAGAATAAACTATAAGTCCCTTTAGTTTTCATTAGAAAGGTGAGTAAAAACYAAGTTAACATATATCATCTAAACAAGGCATTAACACTACGTGACATATAATGTGAA